TAGTATGAACTGACACTCAGCTATCATCCATCGAATAAAAAAAAACAGAAAAACTTTGAGGCAGTTAGAAGAGAAACTAGTCCAAGATACTGGTTTAGCTTTTTCCAAGTAGACAATGAAAGTAGATATGTTGGCCTTCTCCTCACTATCGCACTTCTTTCCTTGCCCATCTGTTCATAACAAAATGGAAGGGAAAAGTGCATTATTTCTTCAAACAATTTACAATTCTGTTATTAGAAAACTCTCAAGGTTTTCGAAAGTGAAAATATGGATAGTATGTATAAACTCCTCATGTCACAGCGACAATGGTAAAAAAAAGAGTGAATAGGTCTAGGTTATGGGGACAAGCATGCGCCCTCTTTGCCCGACAAGGGTCACACACGTGTACGTTCTGCGCCCTTCATTAAGGACCCTCTAGACGAGCGAAGAGAGCAAATGCAAATCAGAAACATAATATCCTATGGAAAACGTAGCATCTGTTACGAAACAGCATACGACTAGTAACTGACATCTCTGATGGTAGATCAGATAAGAATTTCGAAACGGGAACAAATGGAGAGAAGCAAATCATGAAGGATTATGATGGAGATGTAGAAATAAGGTTAAGAATGAATCAGAGTCCTTAGTGGTGGATTGGATGTACAAGTTTACCGTGGGTAAGTAATCTATAGTTTTACGTTATCCCACGTGCTAAATTTATGTAACTTTTCTTCTACGCCACAAAACATACAAAGAATTTTGGTGCGAAAAATGAAATTTTTAAGAAGAACAAAATGACCGCAGAAACTGCAATAAAGTTAATTTTTATCAAAAGCAAAGCTCTCTACTTCAATGCATTTGCAAGCTCCAACCTCGTTAATTACACTCAAAATTTATAAAACGTTTTTATTCTGAAGACTCTTCAGCCTGGAATTATTTTCAGAATCTTTTCACAGGGAGAGATGGATAGATTCTATGCTAAATCAATGTTTTCCCCCATTTAAATCTAATGAAATGTATCGAGTAAATAATTTGGGAAAGGGTGTTTCTATTGGGTAAGAAGCGCCCTCAATGGTTCGAAATATATTTTGTTACGTGAGATAAACATTAATTGTAGTCCATAATAATTTAGTGATGTCAACTGAACATTATATTTGTTTCTTGATGTCCGCAAAATAGATGGAACAATTGAATTTATGTGAAGCATTTACAACTACTGTGAAGTCGCCGGGATACAATTGACAAGCTAGAATAAGTGCATAATATTTACCATATCCAGACTTTTTGAGTCTACGCATGGTAAAT